CCCCCCCCCAATTTTTATTGAAAGCCCCCCCCCCCTCCCCTTCCCCCCCCCCTCGGTGGTGTGGCGCTTTCTCCACTCTTGTGACTGTGTTCCATGTTTAACCTTAAAGCTGAAGTAACTATGCAGACTGTAACCAAGGTCTTGGGCTTACAGGATTTTGTTGTATACATTTTAAATGTTTAAAGTTCTTGCAAACGATTTTTCTTGTGAAAGTGTTAAATCATCTTCCAGGGTTCTTTGTTTTGCTTTGATTTGTTTTTGCCACAAATGGTATTATTACCTGATGCTTGTTTAGTTGGAAGACAAAAGACTAAACAAGGATAAAAAAAGAGAAAGAAACGAAAAAGAGTACCTTTTAAACTGTGCCGAAAAGACGCGCTCATTTCATTGCCTTGATCCTCACTGTTGTGTCTGAAGATGCAAAAGTCATCAGTGGCTTTTTAACTGTTTACAGATAGAGTGTGATTGTAAAGTGTACAGTTTGGGTTGTGTTCAAATTATGAAGTTTCTCCAGATATTAATAAATCATGACATTTTTGGCTGCTTACCATAGAGCTAACTTGTGTGGCTTGTCTTTTAATTCCCACCAGACTGAAGGGTTGGATTCTCCACGGAATCACAGAAGCACACCATCCCAGCTTTGGGGGTTTGCTGTGGTTGGGGGTCCCCACCCACTCCCTTGTATGAAGGGGGGGAGGGAAAGAGAGACCTGGAGTGGGGGGCATGTTTGTAAGAGGACTGCTATTTTAATGGCTCCGTTCTCCGCTTCTTACACCCCTGGAAGGCACAGGGCCCGCTTGCCTCTGCCTTTTCCCCCCAGTGGCTTCTTTAGCCTCCCTTTCTGGCAGGCACACCCCCATCCCACGTCGGGAGCTGTCCTTCTCCAGCTTGTCTGTCTGGCTTCCATCCCGGGCCACGAGCCCACGTGTTCCCAAACACCAAAGCCAAGGTGGCTTCAGGTCTTCCATCCTCAGGCAGAACCGACCTCTGATGCCCAGCTGGAGGGACCTTCACAGTTCAGGGGTTGCTGCTCCATCTCTTCGCTCGCTGACGGCAGGCTTAAATTGGGGCTGTTCTTGAGCCCACGCGTCCCTCCGGAAGGGCTCAGGCTGTCCAGCTTCTCTCTAGGTTGACCAGTTCCATTCCCTCACAGCAGGAATTTGGCCTTGGTGCCCGGGGCTGTGAAGGAGAGTAGCCGGGTTGCAGTGTCACTCTGGCACGCAGCAGAAGAACTCTGCTGAACTCAGGGAGTTGATCCTGTGCGCCCCCCCCCCGACTACCTGCCAGCAGGAAGGAGGAGGGAAGCCCAGGGACTGAAGGAGACAGGCTACGGAAATCTCTGCCACGCAGAGGAAACCGTTGGGAGGAGACGCTCCTGGAAAGCCAGCGTCCTCACCAGCCACTCTGGGAACCCTCTTAAGGTGACCACAGGGCTCATGGGATGCTCGGATGGTTTTGCTGGGAACAGGGAAAGCCACCCTAAGCTGTTGGCCCCGCGGCTCCTTGGCGGTCTCGGTGATCCCAACTCAAAGGGCACCAAGGCAGCCTCTTACCGCCTGATCCCTGGGAGGCTTGTGCTGGGCAGGGAAAGGGCTCCACTGGATGGGCTCCATCGGCCAGCTGGAGAAAGAGACCTCGCTGGCCTTCCCCGAGTCCACCATGGGGTCGTTCACGCTGCTTGTGCTCTCGGCCCAGTTGGAACGAGAACTGAAAGAAGAAGAAGAAAGGAAAAGTCCATCAGAGTTGGGACAGCATTTGGCCACATCCAATTTCAGAGGCGGTTGGAGTGCTGGTTGCACAGGGGGCCCCTTGCCCCCCCCCCCAGCATG